ATAATATGTTTGACAACTAAATATTGTCTTACGGGATATGAGCCCTGGTAGATATCAGACATTTCGGATTGACCTGACGCCTTCGTCCTCGGCATAGAAATTCTTCAGATCTCGTACATGAAGCATGTGCAATCAGTGACACTATATAGAATGGTAGATCATTACGGACGTTTCGGAGCACTATACTGCCTCCATCTCAGGATAGAAGGATAAGTTTGTGACTGTTTAACAGCTTTTCTCGCTGTCAGGTCCACAATGGCTTAGAAGTATCCCCGTATGGTGTTTAACTAAAAATGTTTACTAGTTACTCTTCAGTATATACGCCCTTTCTGTCACAAAATGGCCCAAATCTGTACAAATATTTAGATTTAAATAATTTTTGCAGCCAATATTTTTCTGCTGTGCTAGAAATCCAGCAACGTTTCTATAGCACCCAGTAAAATCTCTTTAGATTTTTTTCTTTAGCGGGGTGGGACTAAGTCCCTTGTACTGCGGCCACTTCTGGCCTATTGTACCAACCCCAGATGATAGGTGAGGGTGATTGTGGAGCAATTGGTGGAATGAAGATTGGCAGGGGAACCGAAGTACTCGGAGAAAACCTGCCCCAGTGCCACTTTGTCCACGACAAATCCCACTTTACCAGACCCGGGATCGAACCCTGGCCGCCGAGGTGGGAAGCCAGCGACTAACCGCTTGAGCTATGGCGCGGCCCATCTCTTTACATTTCTTCCCCACCCTATATATGTCATGTTTGAAAGCCGTGTGTCATGAGAGCAGCAACAATTTTATGTTTAAAATTCGGATCGCTTTAGCAAGCAGCGTGTATCAAGCTTCTGTGTGAATGACGTTTCCTTTGATTGGCTTATCAGACGCAAATAGAATCAGCGCTGTTAATTTGTGCTTTTGCCAACAGATGGCAGAGACGTCACTTGAGAGATATTTTGTGAAAATAAAATCGTTGGTTCTGATGTTGCTGTGACCTTGTGTGCTACACGCCATGTCCATCAACGCTGGATTTCCATCGTCCAGCAATCCCGTAGCGTCTGTCACATCTGTGTAAAATTAATTACGGAAGTAAAGAACTCAGTGTTGCTCGTGATTATAGCGAATCCGAGTTCCCCCTTTGTCAGTACATACATACATACATACATACATGGGTACGTGAGTACTTGGTGGTCACTTCAGTTCAGAACTGGGAAGGCACTCAAGTTCAGACCTGAGAAGGCACTAAAGTTCTGAGCTGGGAAGGCACTAAAGTTCTGAACTGGGAAGGCACTCAAGTTCTGAACTGGGAAGGCACTCTGAACTGGGAAGGCACTCAAGTTCTGAACTGGGAAGGCACTCAAGTTCAGAACTGGGAGTCGTCGGAATCCCGCAGTGGCGGCCCGTGTTCGATCCCAGTTCAGGTTGTGCTGAAAAATTATGGTGGACAAAGTGACACTGGGGCGGGTTTTAGTCCGAGTACTTCGGTTTCCCCTGCCAATTCTCATTCCACCCACTGCTCCACACTCATCATCTATCCGGGGCTGGTACAGTAAGCCAATTAATGGCCGACGTACCAAGTGGACTCAGTCTCACCCCATCCCACGAAACTAAAAATTATGTTCAGAACAAGACAGACGCATCAGTTCAGAATCAGAGACATGCTGCGGAGATGTTAAGTGTTGGCCCATGAGCTCGTTGCTACGTGTATCGCTCTTGGGAACGACAGTTGTGGTTTCTTAAGGCAGCGTGAATGGCTTCTTCAGGGTGAAGCACTCTGGCGCTAAGCAGACAGTGTCCGTCCATGTCTACCGCCATATATGAGAGGAGTTGCAAGTTACATAACCTTACACAGGGGTGTCTTACCCTGGCTGCGTGCCCAGTTACACCTCTCGATCACTCAGATTTACCTCGCGGGGTGTATGAACTTGAAAATAAAGCCCCACGCCCGCAATGAAGGTGTAATGTAGTGGAACCGGTATGCTCAGGGTGTTGCTATTGGATTGCATTGCGGTCCTCTGAAGGGTGTGAGGGTGGGAGTTTGTTCAGTTAGATGAAAGGAATTTGATAACGAGCATCAGGGTGAGGCAACTCTTAGGGTTGGTCTTCCTCATTCGTATTCTCGTGTTAGGGCCCATTTAATGATATTTGTTCAAATTTCTTGTGTAATACACAGGGTTTGGATTAATAATTGGATTTACTTCACCCTTATAATTAATTATGACGCTGTCGCGTATTCACGCACTTTACAATTTATTATAGCACGCACTAAGTCTTCTCAGTTTGCTCTGTCTTCACCAGTCGTTGCTTGGTAACGGCTTCCAACACCTTATATATCTCAGCTTCCGTGTTAATGTCCTTAACGACTACCAACTGTGTCATAGTTCCTCATGGCAGCTACTCCTGACAATTGACTTCTAGCCGCGTCGGTTCAGAACTCTCCTGCAGGCCCTTCGGGCTCAATCAGAGTCAGAGTCAGAGTAACTTTACGAGTGGCTTTTCACGGCTTTCCGGCTTTCAGCCGTCATGTCGCCACATGATGATTAGTGATCAATGAAAATGAAAATTTTGCAAGGAAAACTTGTGGTGTAACTGAAGGTACTTCGAACCAGGAACCTTCTGAGTACAAGTCAGAAGCGTTACGATTGGAGTCAGCTTGCTTAAGATCATTAAACACAGATGGTGAATGAACCGAAATGGGCTCACTATACATGCTATAACAGGCGTGTAGATACGAAGTTCTGGACAGAGTTGACATCGCCGAAAAAGACCGGAAATGAAGGTGCCCCTCACATTGCGAAACTGCAGTTTGTCGGGGTTCGGCAGAATCTTATCAAGTAGCCAGACACGCTAGGGAAGGCATTGCGCTGTGTACTCATCTCATGAATGGTAATGGCTGTGTTCAGTATCAGGTGACCAATATTTGCAAGTCGGCCTCGTCTTCCTGCACCTCATCCCGTCACACAATATTGGGTTTCGTGTACAGTAGCGACGGTTCTTGAACCTCTTTTGTTAGCTAATTAATTGAGTTTGGTAAGCAAATTTCGGGTAGCGGGGTAATGCTCTGTGATATAAAGGTTACATAGAACATTGAAGTCTTGAAACATGAAGAGGGGCAGCGGGAAGTGTCCAACTGCAATTATCGGTACAACTGCCATGAAACATCAGTACTCGGGCCCCATTATGAATAGTTTCCTCGGCATCTTTCGTCATATCACGTGTGTTGTGAGTCTAAATGTACAAACTTTGTCTTTTTTAATTTGATTAGTTAATTAATTGATTGATTAATTAAATTGTTTCTTCCCTCTGGAGAGTTCAGAGTTAACTTTACAACTGGTGGTTTACCGCCAATCAGTTTGTTTTGACACCAAACCCCTTGAGGTCATAGTCCTTATGTAATATTCACTCTGACGAAAGGATGGGTCTGTCGTCTACAATTGCTGCTGGGCCTCGCCAGTGCAGTCATTCTCAGGTCCGAGTCCCGCAGGACTCGTGACCACATTTTACTACCTCAGATTCGAGACTTCCCCAACCTGGAGGGCGAGGTCCCCGTATTTATATCCCCCCCCCCACCAAGGCATTGGGTTCCCTTTTCTTCGCCTCCTACCACTCGCATGTATAGGGTGGGGGTATTCGAACCCTCCTCCACGTGGGCGACTTGCCTCTTCCCTCTAAGCTCACCCTTCAAATATATACAAATTCAGTCCGTACTTTACAGGAAACACATTACGTCTCCGCTACAAAGCCCAACCGGTCAATACTGTTTAGGGAAACAGTCGCTGTTTATTGTGAGAACCATACGGAACACACAGCTACACTGTGGGCAGAATATATAGCAATTCAGTCCGTATCTCACAGGAAACACATTACGTCTCCACTACAAAGCCCAACCGGTTAATGCTGTTTAGGGAAACAGCCGCTGTTTATTGTGAGAACTATACGGAACACACAGATTCCTGAGAGAGAGAGAGAAGAAGTTGTGGTCGTAGTGAGAGACACTACATTGGGGGCGGGGGGGGGNCGTCACCGCTACAAAGCCCAACCGGTTAATGCTGTTTAGGGAAACAGTCGCTGCTTATTGAGAAAGACACACGGAACACACAGATACAGTTTATAAGGAAAATGCGGGGATTTTTAATGTTACAGGAAGCATTTCTTATATTTACCACTGTTCTATAAATGGCTAATAGATTTTTTTTTGGTATAGAAGGTTTAGCTAATTTTAATTTAACTTTTTGTACACAATATAAAATACTGTACGCTTAAATACAAGGAATAAACAAGATTAATAAAAATTGGATATTAAACTACATCTGGCACTTCAGTACACATATTCTGAAATCAAGAATACACTTGGTGTACTCCACGTGTAGATAGAAGGGTAATATTAAAATGGATCTTACAGAAAGGGTGTAAAGTTGTGGACTGAATTATTCTTGTTTACAGAATGTTCTAGTGGCTGATTATTGTGAACGCTGTAATTAAGTTACCGTTCCATTCTCAGGGCAGAAGAATCACTTATCCACCGTGAAGATGGAGACAGGAGATTCCTCTGAAACGTTTATACATACATAGCAGACTACATGGCGCCACATCCCAAAAGTCAGTAATGTTCACAGCCACTACCACGAGGACCTCGGATCTCACTTTCAGAACTTGTTAGTCCAGAGTTCTGTCGCCTGGAATACCAAGTTGACTTCGCCCGGACTTTACATAAGCACAGCTGTGAGTACATGCATATTGCAATCCAGTGCAAGTTTCAGATTCTTCCAAGCATTTACGTACACAGTAAAGTTGTCCCTGTTCTTAACTAATTAAGCACTGCGCCATAAAGGCGTATTGGGGAATGGATGTATAGATCTACATTTTCTTCACCAAGGCACTATTTGGAGGTGAATGTTCAGCGTCACGCCCCGGCCGTTTTACCCCCGGTACTCATTGGATAGGAGGCTNTCTGCGCCATAAAGGCGTATTGGGGAATGGTTGTATAGATCTACATTTTCTTCACCAAGGCACTATTTGGAGGTGAGTGTTGAACTTCACGCCCCGGCCGTTTTACCCCCGGTACTCATTGGATAGGAGGCTGAGTGGGGCCCAGAGTGTCTGTCTGCCCACGTACACATTACACACGTGTTAATTTTTTTTTATCATCGTTAATATGTACTGCTAGCCGAGCATTGTTAGATTGACCGAATGAGGAAGGATAAGATGGAAAGGCATGCAGCACGCATGAGAGAGACGTCCATGTAATGTTATAATACGAAAACCTGAAGACTTGTGCATAAATGGAAGAATATTATTAAAAAAATGTATTCTAAAGAAATGGATGGATTCATCTGGCTCAGGATACGGATCATTGGCGGGCCCTTGTGGGCACGGTTTCCATAATACACTGGGAAATTTTTGAGTGACTGCTTAAACTAATAGCCTCGAGCCCAGCTCCATGGAGCTGGACAGGTATCGGTGTTACCGCTGCTGTCAGAGCGGACTCGAGAGGACAGGTGATCAGAACGGCCGCGATGTTTTAGATGCGGCATTTTTTACAACCCCTTTCGTTTTTGTCTTTATTTTGTTGAATTAAAATTAGTTTCTGCTCTCTGTCTTCATGTGGTGACCGTTGATTGAGAGAAATGTAAACATGTTGCAGCACAACGAAAATAAAGGGGATGACGCGCTCCGTCCCAGCGCCTTGCAACCACGTGCTAGTAAGTGGGGCGATGTTTTGAGAAATTCTGACTGTTTTTATTTGGGGTTCTGGGTAGGGCAGCTTGGGGCAACATTTAGGTTTGCTTCCAGCTTGCTGTTTAGCTGTGGGATATCTTCTGTATGGACCCCTCTTCTGTTATCGTCTTCTTCTTCTTACGCCTCATTCTTTGTTTCTGTGCTTTCTTATTTCTTCTTCTTCTCGTGTACCGCGAATAATCATAATCCTCATCGCCACCATCATCACCCCCATCCGGTTCCCCCGGGGTCGGCTGTGGGGTTCGCGGGTACGTCCACCAGAAGCACCCAGCGTGTTTCCCGCGGGACCCTCTTCCTGGGAAACGTCTTGGTCCCCCAGAACCTTAGCACAAAAGTGAAATCATGCTGGATGTGACGCCGTATAGTCCGATAGAAATTTACTGACTTTTCGGAGAAACGTGCTGCCTTTATGACTAAAGTGTGAGCTAAGCAACGAACAGCGTATAGAGTATGTATGTGTTACTTTCTTAATTTGCGTGGCTTACTGTTGCGTCCTAAATATGGCAGCACTATGCTCATCCGAAACGTCGATAAACCTCTAACCAGATCACATGGCTTCACATTCCAGAAAATATTATTATCATAGCGAGAACCTCAAATCTCACGTCAATTAATAGGTTATTTCTCGTTATTCCCAGGCTAGTGAGCACAGCCGGGAACCTGGGTACAAATACAAAGATAGAATTGTCCTTGCGCTTGATTCAGCTCCACGCAATGTAGGCGTATAGAGCAATGGCTGCGTAGCTCCACATAATCTTAACTAGGACACTTACAGACGAGTGATCAGCTTCAGATTCAGGCCGCTTTAGCCCCAGAACCGTTTGGATATAAGGCTATTAGACCCAGAGTCGGTCTGGACTCTGTGGAGAAGAGAAACATTTATATTCGTGCCACGATTTCACGGTCTTCCAACCTGTCGCGTATTGGGGGTGGAGTCCAGCTAAGTCCACTCGGCACGGCGGCCACTGATTGGCCTATTGTACCTGCCCTGGGTGATTATGATGATGGAGAATTTGTTGGAATGAAGATTGGCATTGGAAACCGAAGTACTCGGAGAAATCCTGCCCCAGCGCTACTTTGTGCACCATAAATCCCACCTGACCAGACCCGGGATCGAACCCGGGCCGCCGCGGTGGGAAGCCAACGACTAACCGCTTGAGCTATGGCACGGTCAACCCGTAGCGTAGTTACTGTACCGACTGAGCTGTGGGGGTTCCCCCGATCTCTCAGAATTCTATCTTAGTGTTATCTTCTCGTATATTCAGTCTTCGAAGGTCACGCTTCCTAATTATTTTAAACCGCCAACATTTGTCTGATGTAAATTTTAAGATTTACAAGAACATTTTTATCGTGAATGTGGTAATGTTGAATATATATATATATTTTTTTTTTAGTTTTCAAAAATGAAAGTGAAAGGCACGCATAATGTTGGCGGTTGTCTGTGTTTACTGAAATTCAAGCATTGGGGATGATCCCTTATTAACAAAAATTTTCAATTAACGTAGCAGATTAGAACAAATGAAAAACATTTCATTTCATGCGTTCAGCGTTTTGTTGCACTCGATCGAAACATTCGTTCAGTATATAGAAGTGTTACCGGAAAAGCTTATTTAATTAACTTGAACAGTTCACGCACCAAGAGACTGCATAGAGTTTCACGTTGCCACAAATCGAACTGATGTCGAAAGGTTCTCACAGGAGATGGTTATGAGGCTTCAGCTTAATCTGCAGAAGTCAGAAACAAAAAAAAAAAAAAGGGGAGAATTTTTTTCTCATTTTTTTTTAATTCTTGATCTCATTACAAATTTTTATTTTAATATCATTTAGTAATATTATGAAATTCCAAGTTTATATACAGCGAGTTCATATTTTCGAACACAGATGCATGATTTATGCTAACAATAACCTCATTAGTAATTGAACTCTTTCATGTTTTCCGTGCCGCAAACGTACATATGCGTTCTTTGTCATGTCATGTCAGGTTAGGTTATATCAGGTTATGTTCAGTTAGGCTAGGTAAGGTTATGTTACGTTACGTTACAGACGCACATGCACAGCTTTTGACTCTTCTTTATTATAAATTAGCCAAAAGGCACTCAGCAAGGAAAGGATTATTTTTGGAAGCAATATGGCTCTTATTCTTCAAGTTCTGAGGGAGTGGTATAGTTTTCCTCATTTTTTCCTTCCTCATTTCTTTGTGTATTCTTTTGTTTAGGTTTCTTCCTTTGCTTCTGCAATTTTCGCGAATTTTTTCTCTTTTTCTGTCGTAACCTTCCGTCTTCCCCTCCTTCACCACCGTCATCCCCACCCCCTTCATCACCCCCGCCATCATCACCACCATCGCCTCCACCCCCGTCGTCTCCACCACCACCACCACCACCACCACCTCCTCCACCACCTCCACTTCCTCCGCCGCCACCTCTTCTTCTTGGTGGGTACACCCAGATCACCCAGACGCAACCTGCGCGTTCCCCCGGCTGATGTCTTCCAGGACCTTGACAGTACAACACGTTTGTGTGAGATATTTCCTCAATAATTTTGAAACCTATATTGCTGCGATGGAAAGATGTCTCGTGAGTGGTGGGGATGACGGCTCTTGACGTTTCCCCTCTCTTCCTACTGTTTACTTTCCATCCCCAACCTCTTCATTATGACAAATAGCCCACAGGGCTTGTCGTTATGGAAATTTATCACGTGGTTGTCACTTCTAACATTCGTATGAACAGAATGGCTATATGACTGGAGGGGAATATAGGGATGTGCGCTGGAGGGAGAAGTGGAGGGGCCATGTTTCCTTTGCATGAATATGATCACATTTATCCAAATGTTTATGTTTTCGCACGTTCGGACTCTGGGGTCGTAGGTTCAAATCCCACTCAAGGTAGGATGTCTGTGTTTATTCTGTTTTTGTGTTAGGTAGCGGCCTGGCGAAGGGCTGATCCCCCGCCCAAGGAGTCCTATCGACTCTGTACAGGATTACGAAACAAGTGAAAATCGTTTCACAGATACCCTATGCTTCAAGCGGGAGCAGCAGGAATGGAAGAAGAAGAAGATTATTGTCTTATGGAATGTAACACCGTATCGTCTGGTAGAGTATTACTGTCGTTTCTGAGGAACCTGAACCCTCCGGCCTTTGCAGAAGATTGTGACAGAAAGTTCCTCCGAAACGTCAGTAACACTCAACCGTACACTATTTTACTCTGAAGATGAACTCAGCAGGCCCCACTGAAACACTGGTAACGCTGTACAGTGGTAAGCGATGGAACACCCAAGATGAGAGTAATATTCACGGCAACGGCTTTGGTGGTACAATTGCGATCTGCTGATTCTTCAGATCGGAGAGGTACAGGAGTAGTGGCCGTGTTTGAATTAGTGACTTACAGTATTCCGGCAACAGTCAGTTAATTTTAAACCTGCCGTTTCTATTCATCTGACGGCTGTATGCGACTCCCGGCCAGCTCGACTGCCCCATGGACAGATCCCAAAGTGGATCGCGAACCCGTTAAAATTTAACGTCCACACCGGCCTTCAAATCACCTGTCCTCCCATGCTTCTAGTTAAAACGACAGTAGACTGTAACCACCTCCATCGGGTCCCGAGGATAAGAATGCCTGGAGATTTTCCTCCATTTACCCTTAATTGCCTGTTTTAATTGCTACTGTGAACACATTCGGACATACCTGGCGTCTCCTACTCATGTTTCACTCCAGTTACGGTTCATTTAAGACTAAGAATATGTGGAGCAATGCCCCACCTCCTCCCTACGTTCTCATGGCATGGTTTCCAGTGACTCAAAATGGGTCGATGTGTTAGGTTCGGATAATTTTGATGTTATTAGTACTTTGCGTGGGAATACAATTGAGAGCGTGTCATTTGGTTTCGATAGGTTGAACTGGGTTCGGTTGGACTTGGTTTTATCGAATTGCAATTTGGATTTGATTCAGATGGTTTCGGCTTCAGGGGAGGGGATGATTGTTGGACTGAGTTCGTTTGGCTTGTTTCTAATTCGGTTGATTTGCAACGGTTTGTATAAAGTTGAGTTTTCTTTTAAGAAAAGTACAGTCTTCTGGGATATGACGCCGTGTAGTCTGTCGACATTCAACGGGTTACACGGCGTCATATCCCAAAATATACAACTCTTCATAACCACCGGTGTGAGAACCTCAAATCCTACATTGGTTTTAAGAATTTATAGTTTCATAAGCATGTGGTACCTGGTCTCGGTTGCATTCCTCTTCGCCCTTGTTTGTGCAACGTATCACCATCCTCGTCTTCAAAATCATCGTAATCGCCGTCATCTTCTTGGTCATCATTGTTATCATCATTATCATGATTATCACTTTTGCTGTCACTTCCATTTTCACTTTCACGTCTTTGTCTTAACACCAAACTGTCTCTAGGGAATAATAATTGTTTCGATCCTGGAAAGCATAATAATAATAAATTCAATTTTCACATTATTAGTGACACATTAGAAGATACTAAGTTTATATATAGCGAGTTTCTCTTTTCCGACCTTGCACTTTGGCGGAAGTGTCGGGCCCTCCTCTCGCCGAGTACAGTAGATCATAACGCAGGCTCGGGAACTCACGGTATATGACTGATAAAATGCGCAAGAAGCCTATATATATTTACGAAACTGGAATATTTTTTATTGCTAGTGGGGTGGGACTAAGCCCCTTGTACTGCGGACACTTCTGGCCTATTGTACCAGCCCCAGATGATAGGTGAGGGTGATTGTGGAGCAATTGGTGGAATGAAGAGTGGCAGGGGAAACCGAAGTACTCGGAGAAAACCTGCCACAGCACCACTTTGTCCACCACAAATCCCACTTGACCAGATCCCGGGATCGAACACGGGCAGCCGCGGTAGGAAGCCAGAGACTAACCGCTTGAGCTATGGAGCGGCCCATAAACTGGAATATTACTAAGTGGAGAGAGTGAAATGGAAGGCAGTAATGTAAAGAATGCTTTAAACTTTAACATCACCAAACGGCCGTCCTCATGCTGTTCGCCTAATGTAATATGCAGAATCCCGTTCTATAATATTAAAATTTGCTTTCTTACCGCCTCTTCCCCGTCTCTCTTCAGCTGCATCTCTTATTCTTCCCGTTCGGCTTCTTTCAGGCAACGGTCTGCTTCTTGCTCTTCCTCCACCGTAAGCTGCGGAGGTCCCACTTCTGCCGCCACTAGAGGGACCTTCTGTTGTGTTCACGGTATGAGGGACTTCATACTCCACGTCATCATCTCCATCCGTGCTGGGTGCCGGGAGAAGTCGCGGTTCACTGTCGGCCCCAAAAATACCGGTCCCTGTAGCGTCTGAAGGAGCAAGAAGTATCTTACTTGCCGTTATTAAAATGTTACAGTGCACCACTCAGTTATTATGAAACATTTACATTTTTTTAGAAACAACTTCCCAAATTCGATGGGGGAAATCCGACATTTCCCAATTTTATCCACGGTTTTTATGGATCGCCTTCCCATTTTCCACTCTTACGCAATTTATGTAGCTGCCGTGGGACGCTCTGAAATAACGATTTTACTGAATATGGATGCTATAAACTTGAAAACTTCTGGACAGGCACCTTGATGGAACATTCATAATAATAATAATAATAATAATAATAATGTGGTATTGTAAGGTTGCCTGCCGTATTTATAAAGAACTTTTCTTCTGTAAAATTCCATACCATATTTATCAAGGAATTTCTTCCGTAAGGTTGCCTGCCTTATTTGTAAACAATTCTTCTTCCGTAAGGTTGCTTACCGTATTTATAAAGAATTTTTTTTCCGTAAGTTTGCCTACTGTATTTATAGGGGATTTTTCTTGCGTGAGGTTGCTTACACATGTATGACGTGCAGTGGTTCGTAAATCAGTTGGACTATACAGAGTTGCGGTTTCCTCGTGTCTTCGTGACAATCCGTCGTATTTCCTGATCTAACATAGAGGCCTGACTACTATTCGATTGTTACTGATAATCGAAGCCGTCATGACATATAAGGGAGAGTCAGTAAATAGGCCACAAATGGATATAAAACTTAAAACATGTGATATTCGAGTCCGGTGAAAAAAAACACTTATTTCTCGACATATCCTCCACCAACACTGATACACTTGCCCCATCGTTTTACCAGTGTGTCGAAACCCGCAGCATAGAAGTCTTTGTACTGTTGTCTCCGCCATTTCCGCACCTGCGTTTCGACCTCTTCGCCATCAGCGAAACGTCTGCCACCCAGCTGTGAACAGCTTTACGTGACAAACACTTCCCACCGTAAACAGGAAACATTTCTTCATGAATATCCTTTGCACTGGGTCCTTTTGCCAACAACGGAAAACGCGCAACAGAATGCAGTTCTTCAGTAGGATACTCCTCAATCGCGGTCGCCATTTTGACTGCTGAAACCAGCCTCTGAACACAGACATATGCATTTTCTACCTACACCGTTATGAAGCTGGACTGTGCTGCTACCTAGCGTTACACATAGAAAACCTATTACGTCTATTGCAGCTGTTTCACTTCCTTTTGTGGTCCGTTTACTAACTCTCCCTCGTGCTCTCTTTCCATGTTCGTATCACTCGGTTTCTGCTTGCAGTTTATTCTAATTAATTAATTTTTAATTCGCTTAGTGGGGAGTTGAGTCCAGCTGAGTCCACTCGGCACGGCGGCCACTGATTGGCCTATTGTAGCCTGCCCCGGGTGATTATGATGATGGAGAAATTGGGAGAATGAAGATTGGCAAGGGAAACTTTGTCCACCACAAATCCCACAAATCGAACAGGGGCCGCCGCGGTGGGAAGCCAGCGACTAACCGCTTGAGCTATGGCGCGGCCAGCAATTTATTCTAACTTCATCGCTAATTGGAGACCCATGTTGTGTTACCTTTACTGTTGTCGCCCAGTGAACGTCTTTCTTTTGCACCGGAAACGGAGAATCCTTGTGCAGATATCACCTGCAAAAAGTGGCTGAAATTAATTCAATATCAGATCACTTTTAATTATCTCGAGAAACTGAAGACCTACGGGAAATATGTTTTGGGTAGAGCGTGTCTCATTTTCGTCTGTGATTATAAACATTTTTGGCTCTGATAAATGTTTAGGGAGTTATGAAGAGACATGCGCGGTTATAATGCAAAGTATCCGCCATTATTATCCGATTACTACCGAAACTCATATGCGCTGACACATTTTTTGATGAAATCAAATCAGCGAATGTTAAGTTACCTCACCCGTGCAGACAAACGGGTTACAAATTTCAGTTTATATTCGTAAATATGCTAATAATAATTTTAAATCCTATAAAATATTTCAATATGGAGGTTCCTTTTTGCCTTTACATTTATTAAAGCCTTGTTTTAATGTGTTCCTAAACCCTTCACCACGATTTCTTCCTAATCATTCGAAAAGTGAGGGGGGTGGCTTCTAAAATGGAGTACACACACTTTTATGTGACCTTTGTATAACCCTTGACCCTCTAAAGCAAAAGAGAGGAAGCGAAAGAAATGGCAATGAATAATCAGTGGGAAACAGAATAATTACCGATTTCGGAGGTTCACAGGCCGTGCCCGCTTGCCCTTCTAGTGAAGGTACGTTGGAGATGAAGCAAAGCGGTGGGAACTGGACTTGCAAACATCCTTCGAAGATTGAACTAACCTAACCTAACCAACTTCATGGAGCTGAGCGCTTCTTGAGAAGCCGCTAGTTGTGTAGCTACTCAAAAACTTACCAGCGTTTTACGGAACCCGAAGGTTCATTACCGTGTTCACAAGAGCCTTCCACTGGTCCCTATTCTGAGCCAGATCAATCCAGTTCATACCACACCATCCAACATCACTTAGGTTTATTTTAATATTATCCACCCCCCTATGTCTTGGTCTTCCTAGTGGTCTCTATCCTTCTGGTTTTCCCACCTGTATCCTATATGCATTCCTTTTCGGTCACATTCGTGCTTCATGCCCTGTCCACCTCACCATCCTAGACTTGATCATTCTAATTAAACTTGGAGAAGAGTACAACTTATGAAGCTCCTCATTATGCAGTTTTCTCCAACCTCCCGTCACTTCATCTCCCTTCGGTCCAAATATTCTCCTCAACACCCTGTTCTCAAACACCCTCAGTCTATGTTCCTCCCTTAATGTCAGAGACCAAGTTTCACACCCATACAGAACCACAGGGAAAATTATGGTTTTGTATATTCTAATTTTCATGTTTTTACACAACAGACGAGAAGACAAAAGTTTCTGGACTGAAAGGTAGCAACCGTTACCCGAATATCGAAGCCTGGACTAATATAAACATTTAGTTCGTACCTCACAGGAAATAGACTGTCTCCATTACAAAGCAAACGTTTTAATGTTGATAAATGCGTAAAATTGAAGCTCTCCTCCGACCGATCCATTATTTGTGTTATGGAATGTTCGTAGTTTCGGAACAGATTGCTTGGCGACCACGAGCGGTATGCAGCAAGGAATTCTACAGCAGCTGTTTCGACTCTCTAAGTTCAACACTTTCATAATTTTAATTGCGACAGAGATAAAAATACAAGAAAGACAATCCTAGTCAGAAGAATGAGATTCCAATTCGAAATTCGAATTTGGTGCTACAAGAATACAAATATATATCAGTCATCTCGATCGATCGATTTATCGATTTACTTTTCTGGAATTGTGTCTGTGTGTTCTCTACCTATATCTCGAAGGAGGAAGAGAGATCTGAGGCATTTCCACCTCATTTTTAATTCAACAAAGCAGTGTAATTTATCATCTTTGTCATTAAGGCCAAAGCAAGTGGCTTATTGATGGGTATGTGTTCTGGGATGTATTTCGCTCCGGTAAGAAAAGGAGAGCTGTAACGTGCTCAGGAGCGAGGAATGACTAACGGAGTTCGCTTCGTAATTTATAAAATTCATCTATAGTTAGATTCGAGAAAGAAGGAGGGTGCGCAGTAGCAAATGCTGTCACGTGCTGAGAGTTAAAGCCAATCAATTTAAGCCAGAATTTGTTACTGACTTCTGGATTTTAACGCTATATAGTTCGACGACAGCCTGACGTTTTCGCATGAATATTTCTCCTCCATCTTCAGGGTAAAGAAATTAATCACGGAAGAAATAGAGATGTAGACGGCAGATTGACCGAACGGCGCGTAGGATATCCGGTCTCGTATAGGCTGATGGCGCTGTGTTCACCGAAACGTCGGGCTATTAACAAACTACACGGCTTTGCAACCCAAAAAACAATACTTATAATCATGACAGTGAGAACCTAAAACCGAACATTAGATATATAATTTTTATTGGAATATTTCCTGAAGAAGTCTCTATTCCTTGGGATTTAAAGGGGAGGGATTTCATGACACCGTCAGGATGGGCTGTGTAGAGTCGGAGAGGGAAGGCTGATGTATGATGAATTGTAAATAACATAGAAGGAGGCGGAGATAGCGTAATTAAGCTTGTACCCCGACCTTTGCTTGGAGGGAGTGAGGAAAACCATGGAACACTTCAGCTAGGCAGCCAATTCATACCTGACACATCCTGTATACAAGTTAAAATCGTTACCTCTAGACCAATCTGTTTCTTAAACAATTAATTTTTAAATTTTTAATACTTTTAATCAGTTAGTTATTTGTTAATCGGATAGGTTTTTGTATATGTCTAATTCTTTAATTATCTAGAGGAATTTAAACTGTTGATAAATAAAACCGTGAACAATATTTTGGAAGAGACTGTTTCCACATAGTAATGGTACATAAATCACATATTCTGCTGCCAGCAAACAGCGTAAATAATGTTGCCATTGTCATCATACACCAATTGTCTTCCCAAAATGTAATTAGCGTTCCCAGTTTAGTCAATGGAAGTAAAAAAGTATCGAATAATCGGCTTGTACTGAGTTCCCCATAAATCCAATTCATTATGTTCAATTCTCCCGCTGTGGGGTCATTTCTTCTGATTGTGTTATTTTGTTTTTTTATTTATTCTGGAGGGGTGGGTGAGCTACAGGGTGTTTTTAGTTGTACTCTTCCATGTTAAAAATCCATCACAGCAAACTCTTCAAAATTTTCACCGTGAAAACCTCGAACCGAACAGTTGAAGCCTCACTGGAATATTTCCCAAGGAACTCTCTACTCCTTGGAGGGGGGGGGAGAGGGGGAGCAGCTCTGGGTTTCTGTTCTGCAGGTGCTTGGTTCGAACTTTGCTCGGAGCGTGTTCTGACAGGGATTTTTTCGCGGTTTCCTCAACCCCCTCAGTAGATTCTGGGATAGTACATCCGTTAGGTAACCACCGCTTCCTTTCAGATCATTTCCAGTTCATCACACATGAACCATCCTCCCACTCGAATTTATGTAGCATAACTACTATTAGCGTCGTGAGGTAACTCGTAAGTCAAAGTTAAAAGTTATGTCACGACCGACGGTCAATCGGCCAATCTGTCTTGGAATGAAGCGCTCGTCTGGGGCTTAAGACCAGATCTTTATTACTGTTAGACAGTTGCAGGCTTGTTGATGTAGAACGCCCTCTCTGACGAGAGGACGCGTCTGCTGTTTGCCAGAGTCACAGTCAGCAGTAATGAGTCTGTTGCCAGTATGTACAGTTTACATTTTACGTGTTATTAAATGTATGTATATATACAACATATACAGGGCCTGTGTCAGTCCAGGCTCAGTACAGTAGATCATGCTATATCATAAGTAGCTCCTGCTACAACGGCAGTCTACTCACTTGAACGGTATTATACTTGACCGTCGCCAAGTTTAAGTCTCTTGTATTTCCTATGTTGGGGTTGGGCCTGTCCAATGTTGCGAACATTTGCATTTTTATCATTTTGTATGACATCTGCCTGTTGCCTGCTTAATTTTGTTTTTATTTAGCAACTCATAAACAATAAAAAACACCACTGAATAATCTTAGCACGGACCGCATGGAAAACACCGTATAGAACATTGCTCTCAATTGATGCGTTTATATCTGTTGCCGCGGAAACGTTTTTATTGAGCTCTTTCCATGCAACGGACAATGAAAACGTTTTGAGGGAGGCGTATGGCCCAGGTATGATAGTTTGTGCTTGGTTTTGTAGTCCGTGGGTCACTTTACGACAGTCAGTATCAAGACTGTATAGCTTCGAATGTTAAGTTGATTGATGAATTGGAAAGGATTTAGAAGGAAGTGTACATTTGTCTGTAGAGACTGAGGAAAACCATACAACGTAATCAGGATATTCGGAAATACAAGTGTAGGGCGTTATCGCTAAGCCAGCGTGCTGACTTAGCAGCCTTAAGTTGTGTCCTTAGCTCACATGTTAATAAGGATCAGTTTCGCAAAGAAGACGCACGTACCAGCACGGTGAAGACGAAGGCTGTAGATTTATCAAACATCTTCAATTCGTCACACAAGAAAGTTTCTTCTTAATGATGGCTGGATCGGTGTACCTGCGTTCCTTCCGGTTCGGCCAGACACATTTTAAAACAACTGCCGTCATCACAGTGACCAATGGAATTCATATCTCGCCCATATATATATATATATATGCCTACTCTTCTCAGAGCAACAGTGGTATAAACAACTACACTTTGCAACCGGCACTGAGTCAGATGTGATAATGCGCTGCCTGCTCAGGGCTATCGCGAACTTCAGGAACCGGTGATAGAAGAGTATAGAGCAATGGCAGAGTGTTGATTAGCAAGGGGAAGCAGAAGATGTGATAATGCGCTGCCTGCTCAGGGCCATCGCGAACTTCAGGAACCGGTGATAGAAGGGTATAGAGCAATGGCGGAGTGTTGATTAGCAAGGGGAAGCAGAAGATGTGATAATGCGCTGCCTGCTCAGGGCTATCGCGAACTTCAGGAACCGGTGATAGAAGGGTATAGAGCAATGGCGGAGTGTTGATAAGCGGGGGGAAACAGAAGAAACTCGGAGGAAAACGTTCTTCTGTGCCATTTCAACCCCCACGAATCTCACATAAAATTACCCGGGATTGAACCCTAGTCTGCGCAGTGAGAAACCAGTGTTTGACAGCCTGAGGTATGGCATGTAGTGGAGCTTCTTCATAGCGCCGCTTTATAATTCAAAGCGGATAAAATGGACGCATAATTCGAAGGTTATCCATGAATTTAATGTAGCACGTGCTCAGAGCGTCGGAATTTTCAATATAACTTGTAGAAAGTTTAAATCCAACAGCCCTGAAAACGAAAGCATATGTTTCTTTGAGACACTGGTCGCTTATCTACCAAACTATGCGGTGTCATCGTCCAGAATATCGTAGTATGAAAGTGATACTTCATATTAGACAGTTTGACTAAAAATAGCTAAAGCTATCTCTGTAATAGGCCGTGGAGGCCCATAGGGTTGTGAGACGTCGAGGCTCCCACAATCGGCTCACAGATGGCGGTGAGTTTGTCAGCCTTACGTTCCGGCTGCCCTTTACCCCCAAGAATATTCCTGGTACTCATTTCTGTTAGAGGCTCAGTCGACCCCAGACCCATAGTGAGGCTGCAAGGATTAGGTCACTGAAAAAAAAAACAGTGACCTGATCGGTAATCGAACCCGCGACCTTTCGACTTGTAGCATAGTACCTCAATCAACTACGTTACCGCGTTCCCCCGACAGTTTGGGTAGAATTCACAATTAATGAATATTTTCGGAAGAGATGTTACATATATCGCTCTGCATCCTCCCATTTACCGACGTTTCGGAGGAATAGACTGCCTTAATTTTAATTGTCGGAAAGTAAGTAAAGCAACAAACCAACAAGAAGCAGGTGGAAAGCAGAGCCTTGCTGGTTACTTACATGGCTTAGTCTTCATTCCTGAAGATGGATATAGCAGTTTCCTGCGAAACATGATTGAACTTGTACCAGTCCACGTTACGTCCCAGAAGATCATGCTTTTGGTACTTAGATCAGTTTTGATATCCAGTTTAGTCTAGATTGTCATCATTTCATATATTGAGATGCCACCGATACCTGAAAGCAACAATGAAACATCCGGAATAACAATGGCCTTCCTATTTTTTTGTATAAACGTTTCGGTCATGCTGTTTTAACCTTCATGTAGACGAATATATATGTATGTTATTTCACGAAGGTCAATATTACCGTTACATAACTCAAATAAGCAACACACACATTTCATTGTTAAAACTGTTCATGAGCAGGGGAAACACATTAATTTTCTCTTTATTGTGACGTCAATCTCATATTTGTTTTTCATATGTCATTGGACATATTGCATTATATAATATATTAAATATGTGCCACATTGGTATTCATATGAAGGATGAAAAGGTCATGTAAATGGATCTAAGCCTTGAACAAGGCATAGATGAATTGTTAAACACTGGTTGTCTATTGCCCCATGATTCGGCGTCGCCATGAAACTCGTTTCATGACTCATTCGTGTTTTTTTAGGGTCTGGGCTTCTCACAGCCGCGATTATGAACAATTTTACATTCCGGGATGTAAAGGTGAGGTAAAGTTGCCCCTATCCTTAATTAAGCACTGCGCCATGAACGCGTACAGGGGAGTGATGTATAGATCCACATTTTCTTGACCTCGGCACTAGTTGGAGGTGAGTGGTCAGCGTCACGCCCTGGCCATTTTACCCCCGGCTAAATAGCCCCATTGGATAGGAGGTTGGGTGGAACCCAGAGCCGGTCTGGACGACGTGGAGAAGACAAAATTCTTTACCCTACCGGGACTCGAACTCCTACCCCTCGGTGGTCCAGTCAGTAGCTAGTCGCTATACCAACTGAGCTGTCATAGTTGAGTGCGTACTTTAAAAGACACGTGGGATTTAGGAACAAAAGGACTCTCAGACTGTGTTTAGGGCAGCTGGAGAGACTGAAACCGCGCAAGGAAATATCCAAGATTGGCTTGAGCTGGCTGAAGGAGAACCTTGTCTTTTCTTGTCTTTTTTATGGTTTATAAATAAAGGCTCCACAGTGATATTTTTTTATTTAGACTGAAGTGCCAGACGGCATGGGATAGGTACGTAGTATCGTGTAGGACCCCTCTAGCCCGGCGAAGTGCAGCAACTCGACGTGGCACTGATTCCGCAAGTGGACGGAAGACCTCTGGAGAGATGTTGAGCCATGCCGTCTGGATAGCCGCCCACAGCTCCCTGGTATTTGTAGGTGCAGGATTTTGGGTGCCAGCACAACCTATATTATTAAATTTTCCATTTATTTGTTTTCAAAATATTTTTTTCTCTTTTCTGGCTACGTTTCGCTTCATTAATTCGGATTAGCGAGCATTTACTATATGACTTTATGCGAATTACAACAGTATATCGCTACCGGAAGACAATGAAAGAAGATTCTTGAAGTAAAATAAATCATTTTTCGCGGAGACCGCTTGTGTAAGAATTAATTTAGTGAAATTAAATGTTCACTTATGTTTCAGAAAGAACCAAGGTATTCTAATTGCCCGCTACAGGGCTTTTGTTACAAATGAAACATTTTGATATTCTGTCACGTGCTCATATGCTTATATTGCGATGTTGCCAAATATCTAGACTACATAGCGGTTAATTATAGGTTGATAAATGAATTGGAAAGGATTCGAAAGGAAGATTGCGAGACGTTATTAGGTAATGTCTGGACATTTGCTTCGGGGACCTGAGGAAAACGACGACAAATCCGAGTCATGATAGGTAGTGTGTCAGAGATTGAAAACGAAAGTCTCCATAAAGTTGCCTCTACACCTCAGTGTTCTGTCAGAGAAGAGTTAAGAATATATTTTAAAATTATTTCTACTCAAAATTTCATTAAAATATATGTAATCAACACAAAGAAATGCATTTGGAAATTTTGTGTTCCCAAAATTCAGGTAGAGCCCTTTCTGTCTGGTCTAGTATTTTGAAGGTAAAACAGACAGGTTGTCTACCTCAGAATTATTAACTTAACAACACGTGAAGTGACGCGACCTCAGCGCCATTGTGGTGGGACGCGATAAAACTGAATGGAAAACAGTCATTGTTTGTGCGATGTGCAGACACAGAACGCCATGTTATATTCCGGACGTTGAAACCTAAACAGTTGACTGACTACCGAGATCGTTGTCATGAGAAACTACCGATGTATCAGTAGTAGTTCTAGTACTCAATGAAAACCGTGTATCTCCACCCGCACACACATCAACATCATGCGCGCGCACCACTGCCGTCAACCTGAATTCATCATTCAGAACACTATATATTTCCGAAAGATATTCATGCGTAAGTGCCGTTATATTGTATATTGTGTGACTATAGACGGGGTTTGGGCTGGCGAATGGATTTATTGACCACTTATACACACGACCCAGAACTACAAGAAATTACAGCGCCATCGCTGATCTTCACAATTCATAAATCACCACACCACCCGCTAAGGCTTTTCTAGTCTGCTGTATCTTCACCAGCCCTTCCCTAGTAACGGCTTCTAACAGTGGAGACTCTTCAGTTTCACGCGCTCAGGTTCTATCTTCACAGCCTCCCGTACAGTGCTGACCTCTCATAGACAAGAAGTTTCCATAAATGTTCGCACTGTGGCCACACTTTGTCACCAACGTGGATTTAGTCTAACGAACCTTATTAAATGTAAATCCATAGGTTAGAAGTTGATGTGAATACAACGATTTAGATACGGTATACAAACGTCGATTAGAAAATAAAAGGAGATCCATATTCTGGGATATAACAATATGATTCAGTTGCCCAGAGCGTCGTACAACAAGACACAGAAGCAGAGACAAATTGCGTCTGTCTGTAAGGAAACACGGACGAAGTGTGATACAGTTCATCTGCTCTACGAGCGAGCTTACGTCACACTTCGTGTACGCAAAATTACTTAAGGAAAGGCCTATGTAGGAATGTTTGAACCTCCCATAGGCTTGGGAGTACCAGAAAAAAATGTAGTGCCTTTCTAGTGGGGGGGGGCACGCAGTAGCATAGTTGGTTGAGGCACTATGCTACAAGCCGGAAGGTCGCGGTATCGAATCTCGATGAGGTAGATTTTTCCAATTGAGCTAATCCTTCCAGCCGTAATATGACCCTGGGGTTGACTCAGCCTCTAACAGAACTGAGTACCAAGAATGATCCTGAGGGGTAAAAGGCGGCCGGCGCGTAAGGCTGGCAACCTCACCGCCACCTGTGAGCCAATTGTCTAGAAAATGTGGGAACCTCAACATCTCACAACCCTTGTTACAGGGATACCTTTACTTTTTACCTACGTTTCTAATGGCGAGGTAACGGTTTGTGCCACGAACTGACTGTCAGTCAACTTCGTTCGTATGGTGGATGGAGTATAGTATGAGATCTTTATGAAGTCGGCCCAAATTGAGAAACAGCGTTACGGAAGGATTATCTTCGCTCTGGCAGAGGGTTTTCGACGTCCCTGGGATCAGTTCTATTTCTTTGGAGTCTGTTCTCATGTTAGAAGACAACTGGATTACTGCGCAAGTCTCGAAACTTCGTCTGCCAGAAGCAAAGAGTTT